TAGTGGGTTCAATTTAGCCGGCCTACAGGGCAGACGGTATATCGTAGGGGGTTGAAATTTGCACACCTTATAGGTGACAGAGTGGGTCAGCGCCTTTTCTAGGTTTCCACTCGCTGGGGTGCACGGTTCGCGCGTGGGGCGCGCTAGAAGAACGGCAATGAAATTTTGATCGGTTCGTAGATCTTCATTGAGAGCCGGGGTCGACAAACTTTGTGAACTAAATGCATGCCGATCGGTGGCGGGTGCCTCGCATTGAAGGATGGTGAAATTATTGATTTTGATAAATGGTGGCGAAAAAATGTGTTGATTGTCGCTAAATGGGTACAGTTTGCGATAGGAACTTAAAAATGCACCGTGTTTGCCGCAAGGCGCCACAATTATCTCAGGGCGCCATTTTTGCCACAAATCGCACAGTTTTGTCAAATATAGTCCGATATGGGTGCAATTTGGTGCAAGGGTGCATGCTCAATCGCCGGGTGACAATGCGCCGCGTTTGTCGCAATGCGCCAAATTTGTCACAAAGCGCCATTTCCGACAAATACGATGAAGCGTAATGGAATGGCACGAATAGGAGCAGGGCTAGGAACACTTCGTCTTATTTTTAGTACTTATTATTATATTAACTTAGTCCGTGACCTGACGTGACCCAGTGGTATTGGTAGGGGTAGAGGTACGGGTGTTTTTTGCGGCGTTTGCGGTTGGCGGAGGGCGGTCGCACGATGCTGGCAGTTTTCAGTTTTGCAGCGTTTGCGGTTGGCGGCGGGCGGGCGCGCGATGCGGGCGGTTTTCATTTGTTGCGGCGTTTGCGTTTGGTGGCGGGCGAGCGCGCGATGCGGGCGGTTTTATTTTTTTGCGGCGTTTGCGGTTGGCGGCGGGCGGGCGCGGGATGCGGGCGGTTTTCATTTTTGCGGCGTTTGCGTTTGGTGGCGGGCGGGCGCGCGATGCGGGCGGTTTTCATTTGTTGCGGCGGTTGCGTTTGGTGGCGGGCGAGCGCGCGATGCGGGCGGTTTTAGTTTTTTTGTGGCGTTTGCGGTTGGCGGCGGGCGGGCGCGGGATGCGGGCGGTTTTCATTTTTGCGGCGTTTGCGTTTGGTGGCGGGCGGGCGCGCGATGCGGGCGGTTTTCATTTGTTGCGGCGTTTGCGTTTGGTGGCGGGCGGGCGCGCGATGCGGGCGGTTTTAATTTTTTTGCGGCGTTTGCGGTTGGCGGCGGGCGGGCGCGGGATGCGGGCGGTTTTCATTTTTTGCGGCGTTTGCGTTTGGTGGCGGGCGGGCGCGCGATGCGGGCGGTTTTCATTTGTTGCGGCGTTTGCGTTTGGTGGCGGGCGGGCGCGCGATGCGGGCGGTTTTAATTTTTTGCGGCGTTTGCGGTTGGCGGCGGGCGGGCGCGGGATGCGGGCGGTTTTCATTTTTTGCGGCGTTTGCGCTGTTGTTCGCGGTTGGAGGCGGTCGTTTTTTATTTTTGTTTGTGCGGTGTTTGCGTTTGTCGGCATGCGGGCGTTTTTAGGCGTTTGCGGTTGGCAGTTAGGGTGCGTGCGATGCGGGCGTCTTTTTTGCGTTTTTTTGTGTTTTTGTTTTGCGGTTTGCGGCGGTTGAGCGTTTTTTTTTTTCAATTTGCTTTCGCATTTGCTCACCACGCAGCAAAGCAAGTGGCGCAGCCGCTTGTCTATATTACTATTTGAGGAGGGTGCGTCTGTCCGTTACCGAGGTCCCGACTTGGTCGTGCTTTGCGTGGACTACAGGCCAGACCGTTGCACCTAGCCCGGTGAAATTTGCACAACTTATAGATCAAGGATGCGCGACGTGCCTTTGAGGGGTCTCAGCTCGATCGGGTCGTTAGTGAGCGCGTGGCGCGTGCCCAAAAAGTGCAAATTCGCGTCATAGACTTTACATGTATAAATCGGCGTGCGAAATCGGGCGAAAACGGCTAATTTTGGCCGACACGGGTCCAGTTCCCGTGCATTATCTTGGTGACCAGGGGTCCGACCGGCACAGGGAAAACAGCATCGTGTACAGAATTGAACGGGCTATCGAATGGTGTGCGGTGCAGGGGATGACACGCGCCATGTGCACCGGGGAGGGCACTTTTATGTGGAAAATTGACGTTTTGGACGGATTTTGGAATTGATTTTATTTTTAGGTGACCGTTAAACGGAGCGAGTTGGAACAACCCCTGTTGGCAAGAGAAATGTACCGCCTCTCATGAGAAAATTGTGAAAAGCTGATTGCTCCAAATCAAGGTGGTACAAATCACGGAAGAAAATGGTGTTTGTCAATTTTGTGCCACTTTATTAATCACACGGGTTTTGCTCAATGATCTGATAGCTCTGGCAATAAACAAATTGCACCATTGGAAAGAGCATTCAATTCTGTCCAAGGCTCAGCCTTCATTTTTGCATGATGATCAACAGCATTCTTAAAAATGTAAATATTCCAAACCATTACATTGTCATTTTTACCGGAATTCGTCGATGGCCATCAAAAGACTTCACGTCAGTTTTCGAATCATTCTAAAGTAGAAAGCATGATAATACGACACGGGCACCTCGATGCGATGTATCCTTTTTGTTTTATTACAAAATGCTTGGCCGTCAAAAAGAAATCGAACGAAATGGATACCAACCAGATCGACACAGACCAACCCAATACCCACGGGTCAAAAATAACCCTTCTTCGCGTTGCGGAGCACGCGGGTCACCCTAGTAGCAACTATAACACAATACAACAAATACAAAATTTTTAACCCACGAGCCGCTGGGGGGCATAAAGTTGCCCCCCTTTACGTTTGGTGTTATATCTCCGAAACCGGATGAGATACGAAGCTGAAACTTGGCATAGCTTCAAATGAATACCTAGCGCATATTTGACGAAAGTTTGGTGGTTGTAGCTTTTAAGATGACGTCACAGTGACGTCATAAAGTTTTGTCGTTTTCCGATATGGAGCGTTTCCGATGTCGCTGACCACGAAAAGCAACGGTAAATGATCTAAACAGCACCTGTTGTCATTCTGACACATCTAAGTACACTTTCAACTAGATCCTGACCAGTGATCGGCCCAATATATTCGGTCTCATATGTCGGATATATCGTGAGGAAACCCAGGGACGCAAATCTATAATTGGGCTTCTGACGTCACTGTGACGTCATTTCAAGTGGGATCGACACCAAATTTTGACACAACCTCGGCTAGGTATTCAGAAATATGTGTGCAAAGTTTCGTTTCTCTATCTCTTCGCGTTGCGACGATATCGTCGGAGAAGTAAAGGGGGGGCAACTATATGCCCCCCCCCCCAGCGGCTGGCGGGTGGCGCGGAGGCCCAGCGGCCGCCGGGTTAATAAACGATCCACACCGGCTGAGCATCACGAGTTATTGCTAGCGATCTGGCAGCATAGCGTCTGTGATGTTAGATGTCCCGATTAGAAGGTCTATCCGTGTGACGTCACAACTCACAAGTCACTTGTAGCCGTGTTATATGACGCCACTGCTCTCGTATGTCAGCCTGCACATGCTAAATGACGTCAAAACTCACTCGTAAACGTATTATATGACGTCAAAGCTCACTAGTAGACGTGTTATATGACGTCACTACTATCTCGTAGCCGTCATCGTTTTATTGTTGTTTTTTTTTTCGTTTTATTGCCTTGCTTTTTTAACTATCTCGTAGCCGTGTAATACGACGTCACTACCCAGTAAACATGCCGACGTCGGCCCAACGTCGGCCCGAGGCTCGGCCCGACGTCGGCCCAACGTCGGTTCAACCTCGGCCCGACATCGGCTGGACGTCGTATATGCCCGCATGTTCCGACGTCCAGCCGAAGTCCAGCCGACGTCGGGCCGAGATCGTTTGCCGAGGTTGACGAGATCGTTGGTCGTTGGACCGACGGGGCCGACGTCGGCATGTTTATTGGGACAACGCGCCAAAAATATCAACCGGCGGTGGGATTCGAGCCCCCCAGTCGCCGACGTCGGCGTGTTTACTGGGACAACACGCCAAAAGGATCAGCCGGCGATGAGATTCGAACCCCGTGTCATTCGAACGCGATGTTAGTGCGCTAACCACTACACCACGCAGCCAACTAACGAATTTGGTTTGTTTTGTTGTGTTATGCCCTTTCGGTCTGACAAGACCATTTCAGAGCCGGAAGGATCATAGGATGGAGACATTGGTCTTCTCGGCGAGCACCCTGGGTCCAGTTCATATAGAGTCCCTGGTCCCATTGTTGTTACGTGACACTTATTGGAAAGGGCGACCCCACAATGGATTCATATAGCCACTCTTACACACCTGCACCAACGTTTCCCAAAGTGTCCCTTTGATTAGTGGCACTTTGGCAAAGTGACACTTGCCGACTGGCCTTTCTATATGAACTGGGCTCGGCCCTGGTGAGTTGCCGGGGCTGAGCCTGACCAAAGGATAGGCCGAGCAGCCCCCAAGCACTCACCGCACCCGGCTACGGGCGAGCTCGGCTTACGGGCAATCCCAAATGGGAGATAAAGTTTCCCGTCCAGTCCGGATCAGGGGGTGGCGGCGTGGAGGAAGATTTGAGTTTCCTGAGGATATTTTGAATACAGAAGCTCTTTATGAAACATGAAACATGTATTTTATATTATTTTAACGGTCAAAACAGCGGCCGATGTCGGTCCGACGTCGCCCCGACGTCGGCCCGACGTCGGCTGGACCTCAGCAATTGATCTCGGTCCGACGTCGGCCCGACGTCGGCTGGACCTCGGCTGGACGTCGGAACATGCGGGCATATCCGACATCCAGCCGACGTCGAGCCGAGGTTGGACCGACGTCGGCATGCCGATGCCGAGTTGCCGACGTCACCCCGACGTCGGCCGACGTCGGGCCGACGTCGGCATGTTTACTGGGTACTCTCTCGTAGCCGTGTTATATGACGTCACTACTCACCTGCAGACGGCCTGCGCAGTGCACGTGTTATACGACGTCATTAATCATTTCTGTCTCTATATTATCAGACGTCACTAGTCACTACTCACTCGTAGACGGCCTGCACATAGTCTGTACGAGCTCCATCCTGAGCCTTGATCTGAACGCCCATCGTGGCTTCTGAAACATAAACGAAATAAATAACTTCAGTGCTATTTAATTGTGAGACTAGAAATACAACGTCATCGTTTTATTGCCTGTCTCCCTGCTGAAAATGCGATGTATTAGGTACATGCATAAACAAAGTAAGTAAAACATGATCTTGCTTCATGTCTCAGTACATATCAGGCATCATATCGCATAGTAGAATATCCAGTGCAAAATACACACAATATCTCTGTACATTTACGTGAATTTATGCATCAGTAGGTAATGCATAACGGATGTGAAATAGCATGCCGCTAGTCATTCATAACCTCATGGAGCCCTCATTGCCCTAGTGCTACGCTAGTCACTAGCATGACCGCTGACCCAAACGTTCCGTTGTCCACGCCGTACCGCATATGATATCGAGTGTCGCCTTGGTGATGAATGGGAACACGTTCACGCGCTGGCCGCCAGTGTCCTTCAGCTTTGCCACCAGAACCTGCGACTGCTCGTTGAACACGTCCATGAACTGGTCCAGAATGGTGAAGTGGAACGCCGGCGTCAGCATCTTGCGCCGCTTGTGCCACTTGGTGCCTGAAACCGGATCATTGAGGAGGCTGACATAGCGTCGTATTTTACTATGGTTTTCTTTTGACGTTTTGAGGTATCTAAATGTTTCAATAATCAATGAGTTGTTAAGCACTGCTTTTTAAAGTGTCTGTCTGTTATTTCGACACCTTTTTTTAAACCCCACATTTGTTCTCCGGTGAATTTCGGACAAGTTGGTTAGAGACCTTCAAAAAGGGTACAATCACTCGATTTTTCTCAAGTTTGTCTGTCTTGGCAGATAAAGCAATACCAGAACAGGCCTACTGTGAGACGCGGTAGTAACGTTCCGGCGTATATTGGTGCTCCGCTCCAACTGACCACCAAGGGACCAGGAACCCAGCCGGCCGGCCGACTGCCGGAGGGCAGGGCACGGCAGTGGCGTCTCCAGGGACTCAACTCGGGCACACACTGGCACACCACGCGCAATGGAGGCGGGGACACCAGCACATCTCCCCTCCCCTCAGGGGTCCCACCTGAGCTCATATTACAGCCGTAAGTACCAGCATAACGTAACAACGAAAACAACTTGACAACAAAACAACAACAAAATAACTTAACAAGTGAAAAGAAACATCACGCTGCGCACACGCAAGCCTATCATTACATCTCCTCTATCAGACGCCGCGGCCGTCTCCTCGTCCGCGTCGACCGTCGGAGCGGCGGTTCCTCGGCGAGACGGGACGTCCCCTGAAGCGGCTGTCGGCCTCCGCTGGGCACCTCGGCGCGACGCTGCCCGGTCGGACCTGAGTTGTCCGATGCACCGCTCCTCTCCGCTAGACACGGTTCAACAACAGCATACCTCCGGCGAAGGTGGCACCGGTTGCGGTCTACACTGCCGCCATCGTCAAACCGCACACGATACCTCCGGAACGGTAGGACGTCAGTCACTGTGCCGCACCTCTCCCACCGGCGGGTGAGGACGTCTTGCACCCGTACATGGGTTCCGACTGGGAACTCGGGGAGATCCCGTGCTCGGCTGTCGTAGCGCTCCTTAGTTTTACGACGGCACTCCTCCCGTCGGTCAGCGAACTCCTCAGGGGGCTGCCGTTTGTAGAGATCAGGGTGTGATGGCAGAGTGTCTCTGATCGGTCGTCCGTACACGAGCTGAGCTGGCGACACTCCGCAGCTACCGGGCGTGTTCCAGTGTTGGAGGATCCCTCTCGTCCAGGCGTCCTCGTCCAGTCTGCACCTGCGAAAGTCCCAGCACCTTCTCAATAGCTTTTTAGCAGCCTTCACTCCAGACTCGGCGAGCCCATTAGATTGTGGATAGTGGGGAGATGATGTGTGGTGACTGATGCCCCACTTTCTGAGAAAACTTCGGAACTGATATGATGTGAATTCAGTGCCCCCGTCACTCCACAGTGCCTCGGGAACCCCGATTTGTCGGAAGACATTTAGCAATGCAGACATGACTTTGGTTGTGCCCGAGTGTAAGCCGAGGTATGCTACATGACGCCATCCAGAAAACCCATCCACAACAACAAGATATTTACCTCCAGCGTGACTTCCAATGTCGACAGTCAGATGCTGAAAGGGTCGTCCTGGAAGCTCGTGCTGGATCAGCGTCTCCCGCTGTTGGGAGGGGAGCTCACTCTGACAGCGGTCGCACGACTTTGTGACGTGATCGACGTCAGCATTCATTCCTGGCCAGTAGACGATCTGTCTTGCTCTGGAAATTGTCCTTTCTCTCCCCAGGTGCCCCGCGTGGAGTGTCGCGAGCGTTCTCTTCCGCAGGGATGGGGGTATAACGACCCTGCATCCACAAAGAACGATTCCATCGTCCACTGTCAGGCGATCTCGAACTGGCCAGTACCTTTTGACGGCTTCTGGAACCTCTGATTTACTGTCAGGGAAGCCGTTCCGAATGACTTCTGCCAGTAGCTGGAACTCGTGGTCCGCAGCAGCAGCCTCCCGGACCTCTTTGAGACTGATGTCGACGTCATGGGCCTGGAGTTCACTGATGACGATAGACTGGATGCAGGAAGTCGTTGCATCCTCTCCACACTCGTCGTCTTCGTTTGGGTGCTCGATCGGGTTCCTAGACAGGGCGTCTGCAGCGCTGTGCTGGGAGGCCGGTACCCATCTTGCTGAGATTGTCCCAAACTCGCTCATCCGTAACTTGAGACGCTGCAGCCTTGGATTTTCAATTTCGTCTAGCGTCTTGCTATTGAGGATTGGTACGAGAGGACGATGATCCGTGATTACTTCGATGCTCGGAAGTCCTCCGATGAACAGGCGGCACTTCTGTAGGCCCCAGCATACAGCGAGCGCCTCAAGCTCGATGGTCGCGTACCGCGTTTCGGCATCACTGAGGAAGCGTGATCCAGCTTGGATGACGTGCCATCGCCCATCCTTGTCAGCTTGTCGCAGAACAAAGCCCAGACCCTTCTTGCGACTCGCGTCGGTTGCGAGCATCGTCGGCCTGGTGGGGTCGAAGAAGCCGAGAGTCGGCACCGAAGCAAGGTGTTCCTTCGCTCTCTCGAACGCCCGCTGATGGTGCTCTTCCCACAGGAAGGTGGTTCTTGGACTCAGAAGAGAACGAAGCGGCTCCATTAGCTCTGCTACACTGTCGGTAAATGGGGACAGCTGGTTGATGAGTCCGAAGAATCCGCGTAAGTCAGAGATGTTACGCGGAGTCGGGAACGCAGATAGAGCTTGAGTCAGTTGCGGGTTTGGCTTGTACCCCTCTTGTGTCACAATGAAGCCGGCGAACTTTGCGGAGCGTTGAGCCAGTTGGAGCTTCCCCAGGTTGAGGGAAATGCCTCGTTCCTCGCATCGAGACAGAAACCCCCGAACGTGCTGGATGTGCTCTTCCAGTGTGCTGCTGAAGATGATGACGTCATCTACCACTTTCCGGTAGTTATCGGGCATTCCCTGCAGTGCCTCGTCCATCCTCCGGTTGTAATGCTCGGAGATCGACGAGACACCATACGGGGCGCGTTTGAAGGCAAATCTCCCGAACGGTGTGATGAAAGTTGTCAGTAACCTGCTTTCTTCCGCAAGCGGGCACTGGTGGTATCCCTTGGCAGCATCAACCACTGTGAACCATTTGGCCCTCTTTCCGACAATGGATGCTACTTCTTCTGCTGGAGTCGGTGATTGATAGCGTTCTCGACGGATGTGTTTGTTCAGCATCGAAAGATCCACGCAAAGCCGGATGCCGCCTCCCTTTTTAGCGCTGACAACGATCGGTGCGCACCAGTCAGTCGGAGTCGTCACCGGGAAGATGATGTCTTGGTCCTCAAGCCGTTTCAGCTCCTCTTTCAGTGGGTCACGATACGACAGTGGTACCCGTCGTGGCGCGGTGACGCAGAATGGCACCGCATCTTCACGGAGATGGATCTTGTACTCCTCTCCTGGCATGCACCGAATGTTGCCATCAAACACAGTGGGGAATTCCTGCACGAGGTCTGGGATCTTCGTGGCACATTGCTCCTCTCGGTGCTCAGGAGCGGCTATCTGACCGTTGGTCGTACAGTGAGTGCTCGGAGTTAGTGTCTCTTCCCTGACCTGGGATGTAGATGGCGGTGCAGCTTGGCGACAGCGCGGTGCGGATTCCGTCCGCACAGATGTCGCCACAAAGCGGTCGGGTTGCGTTGTAGATGGCGCTGGCGTGGCCGTGCCGCGCGGCCCTCCGGTCGAGCTTGCTTGATCTTCAAAGACCGGGGTAGCAGTCGTACTGCTGTCGTCTGGAGCTGCCGGGTGTCTCGAACCAGCGCTGTTAACGTAGGGCGTCGAGGTCGCGCTGTTCATTTGACGCGGGTAGTCCTTTGGAATAATGTTTAACCGGCGGGTGGTCCTCCATGACATCAGCAGACCCGTGACGCGCGGAAGAATGTGTATGTCGTCATCAACCGTGACGTCACCCAGGGTGATACGAACGGGAAGAACGCCGATAGACTTGACGGTGGCTCCGTCAGCTGCTTTCGGGTGTTCGTTGGGCGGTTGAAGGTTCTCAGGGAACTCATTCATGTCGTCCAGGAACTGGATACCTCCAACACTGATGTCCGCTCCGGTGTCGGGCAGCGCGTCCACATCAGCAGAGTAGTACGCCTCTACGCGTACCCGCACCCTCGGGGCACCCTGTACCGATGCAGACGCGATGATAGCCGATGTGCTGGGGCTTCGGCGGTCCACGTGATTCGCCGTTTCATCATCCCGCCGGAAACGGACTCGGCCGTACCCGTCTGGAGACTGCCGTTGGCGACTACGAGAGGCGCGACGATCCCCTGTCGTTGCACGGTGCCGATCGCGGGGAGATGGTGACCGGTACACCTCTCGGGGCGGCGACGACATGTGCCGACCTCTCGGAGACTGAGGCCGGTCTCGCGGCGGAGATGACAGGCACCGATCACGGAGCGGTGGGGACCGATACCGATCCCGGGCCGGCGGGGATCGGTACCGTCCGTACGACCCCTCGCGGCTCCGCCGGCCGTCGGTCCTCGACCGGCACACAGCTGCGAAGTGGTCCGGTCCCCGGCAGGCCCGACACCGCAGCCCGCGGGCGGGGTACTGCTGGCCGGGTCGGTGCGTCCGCCGACCGCAGCCAGTGCAGGCGGCCGGACCGCCACCGGTCCGGGGCGACCACACCTGCAGGGCCGACGGGCCGTCCGCAGTGCCGCCGTGCAGCTCCCGTGCGTCGCGAGATGCCGCCTCCTGCGCCCTGCAAACAGTAACAGTGGCCGACAGAGACAGGTCCGGTGTTGCACACAGACATCGAACGGTCTCTGCAGACCTCAGACCCATAATGATTCTATCCCTTATAAGCGAATCGCGACATTCAGTGCAAAAATTGCAGCTGCGGGCGAGTTCTCTAAGGGACGTTAAAAAGTCATCAAAGGATTCGCCCTGTTCCTGTACACGTTCGTTGAACTTTTTGCGCTCAACGACCTCATTGATTTGGCCGTTCGCGTATTTCTCTAGAGCCTCGATGGACTTTCTCACGTCAGTACGATCGGGTCCACTTAGCTCCAGGTTCCGAAGCACTCTGATTGTGTCGTCCGTGAGGCAGTCTCGGAGAGCGGCTATCTGGATGCGGGGCTCTGCCCGCTCCAGACCAGACAACAGCACATAATCTTCCCATCGCTCTCGCCAGACGTGAAATAACTCGCCTCGGTCGCTGGCGATGTCCAGCCTGTCCGGTCGCGCGTGCCGGCCGGCCCACGTCGGGCCAGCTCCTGCAGCTGGAGCCACGACACCACTCCGCGAAACGTCCACAGTCTCACCGTTATGAGACATCGCCGTCACTCGTCGGTTCCGCAACACTTATCACTTAACACCGCGGTTCACTACCCTGCCGGCTGCGCCATGTGAGACGCGGTAGTAACGTTCCGGCGTATATTGGTGCTCCGCTCCAACTGACCACCAAGGGACCAGGAACCCAGCCGGCCGGCCGACTGCCGGAGGGCAGGGCACGGCAGTGGCGTCTCCAGGGACTCAACTCGGGCACACACTGGCACACCACGCGCAATGGAGGCGGGGACACCAGCACACTACGAACACACATATTTGATCAGGATCGGACGATTGGACACTTTTAAAAGAAGATCTTTCGTGCCTCCCGGAAATTCACGGGAGAGCAGATGTGGGGTTTAAAAAAGGTGTCGATTTATCGGTATCGGTTGCCTATGTATCGGTTGTCATAGTTACCCGTGCTGGTGACCAGTCCGGAGTATATATTGCACAGTTTGTTTATCGGTTGCCATAGTTACCAGTGCTGGTGGGCAGACCGGAGTCTATATTGCACAGTTTGTTGATTGGTTGCCATAGTTATTAGTTACCGGTGCTGGTGAGCAGGCCGGTGCCCAGCCACGGCTCCAGTGACTCGTACTCCTCTCCTTTCTGGATATGCTGGTTACTGCTGAAAATCACCTGCAAATCGAGCAATATGATACGAGCCTGTTAGTAAGTAAACTGTTACAGCGCCATATGAACAGCAACCCCGGTTCACTAATCACAGCTTCAGTGGGTGCTGACTGACAGGCCGTAGCCTCTTGAACACGTTTCTTGAGCTTGGCATGATGCTTCAGCAAGCTTGTGATTCATGTTTCATTATAGCCCGCGCCCCACTGGGGGGGGGGCTATTTATAGCCCCCCTCCCGTTTCTCTGCAATAACTTCCAAACCGCTTGACGTATCGACGCCAAACTTTCAGTACCTTCGGCTGCATCAATTTGACACCTTGTGTCAAAATTTGAACTTCGTACCTACCATAGGTCGGCCGGAAATGACTTCAGAGTGACGTCATGTTCGGCCGATTTCGACGCAAAACATTGAACCACGGCAATCGCTCCCAAGAGCTCAGTTTTTAAGCTAGCTCCAATTTCTTTGCATGAGAGGACTCAGAATAGACCGCGCTATCAAACTGCTATCTCGGATTTTCGAAATTTTGAAAATTTCGAAAATGTTATATAATAAAATTCAAAATTTATATTTTTATTTTTTTTGACTTTTCGAAAAAAAAAAACAGGAAAATATATATGTGATAGAACGCATTATTATGACTAACTCTAGTAAGTTTTAGCTAAATATCTTGAAAAATGGCCAAGTTATACGCATTATTGCAAAAAATTAACAATTATTAATTTTTCAAATCAATTTTCAGCACGAATTTGACATCGTACGCCAATATAAATAGCACCATCGTGCTCCTGAGCTCAAACTGCATCCAATAGACACCTTTTTTGTTGAAACATTTTTACTTCAAAATTTGACCTTTTTTAGGTGAAAGTGACCTGACCTAAGCTAAATTTGACTCAAAATGACCTCGAATGACACCGACGACATCAAATTCGAAATTTTTGGCCTAAATGGACCATAAAACATGTGTCACGTGACCGACGGATGATATAATATTTTCGTGACCTGTGATGACCTGACCTTGACCTGAACATCAAAGTACAAGTTTGGTACCCTCAGAGTATCTAGAGCATCTGTTCACGAGTGTGTGAACCAAAAATGAACCTGATCTGACTTGTAAGACGGCGGCCAGAGCCCAAAACGTGAAGAAGCCAAAATGCTAATAATTTTTACTTTGACCTGACCTGTAACGTCATCGGTGACCTCGAGGTCACTGAAATTAGGTTTCGCTTGACAGTTTTTCCGGGGCTATCAGACGCCGTTTGAATTTTGACGATCGGCCCAGTAGTTTCGGAGTTAGGAGGGGGGCTATGAATAGCCCCCCCCCCCCCCCCAGTAGGGCGTGTTATACGCAGACCCCAGTGGGGCGCGGGGATTAGTGCTTAGCGGCATTATTATTTTGGATTACATCTGCCTAGAAGTGAAAATGATGTGTGAGTTTCACAAATCTCCATTACTTAAACTTAAGCATTGCCTTCATGTTGTGCTTTATCTGTTCGATCCTTAACCCGGCAGTTGCTGGGGTATTTCGCCACCCACCGTTTGCTGGGGGGGGGGGGGCGTTAAACGCCCCCAGCCGATAACTCGAGAACCAATAGGCGCAGCGAAACGCACGAGGCGGCAAACGAAAGAGCGCGACGAGACACTTCAGATGAGTACTTTAAAGTTGAATTTTGAGGTCACAGGTCGGGTCAAGGTCAGGTCAAACACCTGAAATCGGGCTTTCAGTAGCATGGACTTCAGGACTTTGCAATGGGCGCCTCTCGTCATAAACTCTGTCAAAACGGTGCACAATCCATCATATAAGGCCTACAAGAGTGTCAGCTCCATGTAGGGGTCAGTCAATCATAGGTCAGGGTCAAGGTCAGGTCAACCGGGTAGGCACATATCCCCGAAAATCGAAACTGATATTCGCAGCCTGTGACACATGTTTTATGTGTAATTTGGGGCGTAGAACACGATGGTGACATTCATTTTATCATATGTGTACGTGTTTGGCTCAAAAAGTTCAATTTAAGAAATGCATGAATCATGGTCGTGAAGTAGTCACGAAAAATTGCCAAGATTCAGTTCAAGATTATGGAAAATGCGAAACGATAATCAATAATCGAAGATAGCCATTTGATTGATCATGGTATTGGCAGTCTAATGGCGTTTACGGCATGTCTGTATCTCTATTCTGTGATTTTATATGATTTTTTGAACATATGCCGTTTTTGGTCGAAAACTCAGAAATCATGACGTCACTAAAACCTCGATATCTCAAAAAATTTCCGACCGATTTTTTTGAAACTTTGTCACGATAAATTTCAATCAATTCCCTACAGGTACCCAAAATTTGGTGCGCCTGCGGCGCGCCGTTTTTATGCTATGGCCCGGCGAAAAAAGTGGGGGCGTTTAACGCCCCCCCCCCCAGCAACTCGCGGGTTAACCCTCGCCGGCACAGGGGGGGGTTGATGCAACCCCCCCCCCCTAAGGGTTTTCGCGAATAACTCGCGTAAAAAGCGGCCGATCGCAACGAAACTTTCAGTACCCTCGCATTGATCAATTTTACATCTATCCTGAAAATTTCGTGACCCTGACCCCAATGACCTTTGACCTGTGACCTCTTTTCTGTGACCATGTTTGGCCGAAATCGCGGTTCGGCGCATGTCGGCTCGCATTAGCCGCGCGTTTGCAAGCTTTTCGTGGTTTCAAACATTCAAACATGTGATTTGATGTTGCTCCCATGCATTTGGGTGGGTGTCAAGGTCACCTGAAGGTCAGGTCAGGTCATTGACCTTTGGTGACCTCGGGTGACCTCGGTTCACTTTTTCGAGTTTTACATGTTTTTAGGCTAATTTTGGAGCTGAATTCGAATTTAGCAACCATTTGAACATTTACGAAGTAGTTTTGGTGCCTTCGTAACATGTTACGAAGCTGTCCGAGGCGGTTGACACGTATTACGAATACCCGTCACAACCCCTACCGGTTGACCTGACTTGACCTGACTCGACCTGGTCTAAATGCTTAAAGACATCATCTCTGATCAAAACTAAGACGATATTCGTGATCAGCACCCCGGAAAACCTCATAGCAGTCACACTTTACGACTTTCTAACAGGTCCCGATTTTCCCGGTTTTCGGGTCATTGACCTGACCTGGAAGGTCACCCGATGACCTAGGACCTTAAAATTGGGTATCATTGGCTTCCTCTCGTGACGGGCAACACGCTCGTTTTTTTTTCCGCTAGCTCGATCAGGGGCCAAACGCGAGGGGGGGTCGTACCAACCCCCCCCCCCCTTGTGCCGTCGAAGGACTCAAAATGGCCTGTGCCGGCGAGGGTTAAGTGCAAATAGATATTTTAATTGATCATAAGCAGCTCAAGTCACTCCGGAAACTCCAATCATAGGTCCGATCATAAAACCTCATAGTCCAACGGCCGGTCATAAAGAGGCCTGACTGCAGGCCTGGTTCGGCCATTGAGCCCATGATCGGGCCCATCCCATCAATAACGCCGCAGCAGCCCCCCCCCCCTCCTCCCCCCCCCCGCAGACGGACAGTCGAGGTCACGCTAAGGTCGTACTGATTTCCCGTGCGGCGGTCGCCCCCCTCCCCCTCCCTCAGCTGGTGATTCTGAAAGTCATGCCTGACAAACAGTCATGGGGCCATGAGACGCAGCCCAGGCTCCGAGCTCTGATATAACCCAGAGCTTCGAGGTGACCATGAGCCCTGCTCCGTACATTGGCAAACATAGCGTAAAAATAGCATGTTACGCCAGAACTGTAGCTTCTTAGATAAAGATTACCTAATTCTGTTTTGGCTAACGATTCAAGTTTTCATTTTTATGCTGCTGAGACATACAAACAAGCATCGTTTTAGTGGACGTACCTAATTACCTCTTCACTTCCCTGTCCCGAGTCTTTTTATGTTACTCAATGAACTGTTCATTTGTCTTATTGTTCGCACTATTATGTTAAATCTGATCTAACCTACAGAAAGGTTACGACAAGATGCCTCTGTTTACTGTTTACCCAGCCGTCGGGTTCAACAGTTGTTTTCTCGGTCACCATTGTTACTTCTGTTATGACTAGCGACCTTATGTTTTTTTTTTTTTTGCCTTTGAGCCTCCAGAAGTCTCGGAATTCAAGAAATAGTAGTGTTTTTCTCACATAGAAAGAAAACCGACAACGTTTATCTTATAGCTAGCAGTGAATACTGAATAGCAGCACATGAAGAAGTGTAATCCGATAAATAAGAAGATTGGCCTTCCTTATGGGAGCGCAATTTGAGGATAACAACCTTTTTCGGGATAACGTCCCTAACCGGGGCATTCCAAAACCACCATTCTGCATCCGTCATAATGACTTATAAACCACGGCCTTACCTCTGCTGCCTCGGGAGTGTTGATAAGCACGTATAATAGCCCCACGCCGAGTTGGAGGTGGAAAGCGGAAGCCACCCTTACCTCTGCCGCCTGGAGACTATATATAGTCCACGCCGAGTTGGAGGTGGAATACCCTCATCTCGGCAGCCTGGGTACTATATATAGTCCACGCAGGGTTGGAGGTGGAAGCAGAGGTGGAACTTTTTGTTTTTCATTGGGGTTGTAGTTTGCCGGAGCCCAGGGTATACCCCCACCAAAACCCGAAAAGTCCCCGGATTCGGCCCACTATTTTTCGGGAGGGGCCCACATTTTCAGTTACAAAAAAAAAAATAAAAAAAATAAAAGTGGTCCATCTCCAGGGAGAGACGGCTGACCCTGTCGTCCCTCCATTGGCTATGCTCGGGGTTACATGAGCAGAGTTAATACGTGCATTACAAACGGACTACAATGGTGAGCGAATAGGAAAATCCGTTCCTGATACGCATTTACTTGCTCATGTAACCCCGGTATATGTGCCTGGTTGTAGGTACTCGGGTATCGCCAGTCGCCACCATGGTCGTGGCCATAGGCGGCGGAACGGGGAGGGCACCGGGGAACCGTGCCCCCTTTGATTTTGGCATTTAAACATTAGCCCTATGGGCGTTGCATGGAAAGAATGGGATCAAAAGTCGACAGTGCCCCCCTTAATTGAGGGTGTTCCGCCGCTAGGTACTGGTCGTGGCGATTCGGAAACGGTAGGTAAACGCCCAAAATCACAGTCCCTATGAATACTCGTTTCTTTCCACATTTGACACAAACATTACTCAGTATTGGAGCAGGGCTGTTTCCCTACGAGTAACAATTTAATCCACTCGTGGCAATTGAAAACGAAGACCTAAACAGGAATACGTTATTTTTAGACTAAAAAACTTAAAACGGGTCCATCTTTGTATATTAATGCCACTGTCGTCTGGAATACGTCTATTACGGAAACGGGTAGTATAAACCGGAATAGTGACTGATCAGACATGAGATATTTTGCAAACGAGGACAACATACCGAACACAATGCCGCAAAGGAACATAACACTGGATCTAAATTATCTCAACCTGAGGAAACTAAATAATAAATGCCACAGCCTTTTCATATCACCGAATACTTCAATTAACTAGATGATCTTCTTTTTTTTCAACGAGCAAATGTATTATGCATTGTTTGGCGAATCGTAAACAAAACGCATACTCTTCACAGTCACGATGGCTAGGAACACATAGCGGCTTGTTTGTCTGCCCCTGAGACACTGAACGTACACCGATTTTCAGCTAAATCGAAAGACCCCGCCGTTTACCGTTAAAATGTTAGTTGGCCGTTAATTCGTTAACGGTGCAAAATACCACCCCAAAGAGGCACATTTTCGGAATAAGCGCATCGAGGAGGCCCTGTACACCGATTTTCAGCCAAATCGAAAGACCCCGTCGTTTCCCGTTAAAATGTTGATTGGCCGTTTACTCGTTAACGGTGCAAAATATCACCCCAAAGAGGCACATTTTCGGAATCAGCGCATCGAGGAGGCCCTGTATACCGATTTTCAGCTAAATCGAAAGACCCCGCCGTTTCCCATTAAAATGTTAATTGGTCGTTAACTCGTTAACGGTGCAAAATACCACCACAAAGAGGTACTTTTTCGGAATCAGCGCATCGAGGAGGCCCTGTATACCGATTTTCAGCCAAATCGAAAGAACCGGCCGTTTCCCATTAAATGTTAATTGGTCGTTAAATCGGTTACGGTGCAAAATACCACCCCAAAAAGGTACATTTTCGGAATCAGCACATCGAGGAGGCCCTGTACACCGATTTTCAGCTAAATCGAAAGACCCCGCCGTTTCCCGCTAAAATGTTAATTGGTCATTAACTCGTTAACGGTGCAAAATACCACCCCAAAGAGGCATATTTTCGGAATCAGCGCATCGAGGAGGCTCTGGATACCGATTTTCAGCCAAATTGAAAGACCCCGAATATGCTGCTGTGAGGCTGATATTCGTTGCTGCTGATTTGACAGACGTCGCCAAAACCTTGCATTTGTATCAAATGCGTCATGCTGGCTTACATGTGACTTAGGGCCTGTTCCAGCGCCTCCAGAAACCTCCAGAAAGCTCCAGAAAGCTCTAGAATCCTCCAGAGAGCGTTCCAGCGCCTCCAGAAAGCTCCAGAAAGCTCTCGCCAAAGCTCCAGAAACCTCCAGTAGCCTCCAGAGAGTTGAGAGGTCCAAATTTCTCTGGAGGCTCTGGTCTACAATTATGGCGCACATGTGACAATCACGAATGTAAACAAAGGACATTTGACTGATTATTTTACAACTCGATTGTAAAGAAAATTACATTGCTATAATTTTATTTATCTTTTTAACTAAAATTGAAAACAAATTATGCGTTTCAAGAGAGAACAATCGTCATTCTTTTGGTATCTATGACGCCAATCTCCAGAAATCTCCAGATTGCGTTCCAGCCTCCAGTAAAACCTCTGGTAGAGCCTCCAGTCAAGAATTTCTTCTGGAGGCGCTGGAACAGGCCCTTAGTTTGCATCGTTTGCATTCTGTTCGCGAACCTGTCAGTAAGATTATCAGCACTAATTATCGCACAGGATTGGTTTTTACTTTTTATGGTCGTCAACGCTGATTTCAAGTGTCGTCATTTTAGCCAAATATTCGTGCTGATTGGTGGTATTGTGCCAACTGACAAAATTGCGAACAGAGTGATATTTCACTTAAGAAATGTATTTGATATTATGATTATGGTGATTGAATGCTACATAGGGTGAAGGCTTAGGTTAGGTTAATTTATTTCTGAAGCTTGCTGTTTGTGTCAAACTTTTCATCTATGCTTATCTCTTTGATAAGCACAGCCAGGTATGAAATATTTAGTGAGAAAACCCAAAAGTAGGTACAGTCACAGTGGCGGATCAGGATCCAGGGGGGGGGGGGGCAAAATGGGCATTTGCCCCTCACAAACGGCATAATATTAATATTACGCCTATGGACGAGGCATGGAAAGAATCGATAAATTGTTATGGTTTGCCCCCCCCCCCAAACTCTGAGCTGGATTTGCCACTGCAAAAGTATGATGAATGTTATGATTTGTTTTGCTTCACACTTCAATGTTACATGTTAAGATTTTTTGGAACACTTTCAAATTTCAATATGATTCACTTAGTATGCTTAAGAAGTGTGAAGTGATTGACTTTCATATCATGCTCTGCTCACTGTCTCAGCGGAATATGTTCTTAACAGAGCACTTTCAATGTTTTTAGCATCTGGAATTTAAAAAAAAGTCCTAATTTTTTGATATCTTCACTTTCTTGATATATCTCAATTATCTGCTTCTGAAGGGATACATATTTTGTTCATTTTCATGTGTTTCAGGCTTATTCTTAATTTTCCAATGTTGGGGTTGTAGTTTTGCCATTGGGGTTGTACTTTTAAAAATTGGGGTTGTAGCTACACCCCCCACAGTATAAAGTTCCGCATGTGGGTGGAAGCCACCCTTAACTCGGCGGCCTGAGGACTGTTACTAGCCATTTTCACGACTTGCTATCCGGCGAGTGCACCTAATTTGACCAAATCTGCACCTAATCTCTTTAACAGCAAATATCTTCATTTTATGAATTTATTTCAGTGTTTTAATCGATTATGCTCTCTGATAATATGACTAAGCAGGCATATAAGCAATTAGTCAGCAGCCCTAGCTGATAGCTACGAAGAGACACACTGAACCTGATTTGACCAAATCTGCACCTTATCTGTACCAGATGTGCACCAAATGTGTACCAGATGGCCGTCGTGCAAACGGCCTGTATACCTATAGCCCCACGCCGAGTTGGAGGTGGAAGCCACCCTTACCGCGGCGGCCTGGGGCTGTATATAGTCCGGTGGAAGCCCCCCCTCACCTCGGTGGCCCCGGGGCTGTATATAGTCCGGTGGACCTCACCCTCACCTCGGCGGCCTCGGGGCTGTATACTGTATACCTATAGCCCACGCCGAGTTGGAGGTGGAAGTCACCCTCACCTCGGCGGCCTCGGGACTGTATATAGTCCGGTGGGAGCCACCCTCACCTCGGGGCTGTATATAGTCCGGTGGAAGCCCCCCCCACCTCGGCGGCCTCGGGGCTGTATATAGTCCGGTGGTAGCCACTCTCACCTCGGCGGCCTGAGGACTGTATACTGTATACCTATAGCCCACGCCGAATTGGAGATAGAAGCTACCCTTACCTCGGCGGCCTGGGGGCTGTATATAGTCCGGTGGACCTCGGCGGCCTCGGGACTGTATAGTCCGGTGGAAGCCCCCCTCACCTCGGGGCTGTATATAGTCCGTGGAAGTCACCCTTACCTCGGCGGCCTGAGGGCTGTATATAGTCCGGTGGAAGCCACCCTTACCTCGGCGGCCTGAGGGCTGTATATAGTCCGGTGGACCTCGGCGGCCTCGGGGCTGTATATAGTCCGGTGAAAGTGACCCTTACCTCGGCGGCCTGAGGGCTGTATATAGTCCGGTGGACCTCGGCGGCCTCGGGGCTGTATATAGTCCGGTGAAAGTGACCCTTACCTCGGCGGCCTGAGGGCTGTATATAGTCCGGTGGACCTCGGCGGCCTCGGGGCTGTATATAGTCCGGTGAAAGTGACCCTTACCTCGGCGGCCTGAGGGCTGTATATAGTCCGGTGGACCTCGGCGGCCTCGGGGCTGTATATAGTCCGGTGAAAGTGACCCTTACCTCGGCGGCCTGAGGGCTGTATATAGTCCGGTGGACCTCGGCGGCCTCGGGGCTGTATATAGTCCGGTGAAAGTGACCCTTACCTCGGCGGCCTGAGGGCTGTATATAGTCCGGTGGACCTCGGCGGCCTCGGGGCTGTATATAGTCCGGTGAAAGTGACCCTTACCTCGGCGGCCTGAGGGCTGTATATAGTCCGGTGGACCTCGGCGGCCTCGGGGCTGTATATAGTCCGGTGAAAGTGACCCTTACCTCGGCGGCCTGAGGGCTGTATATAGTCCGGTGGACCTCGGCGGCCTCGGGGCTGTATATAGTCCGGTGAAAGTGACCCTTACCTCGGCGGCCTGAGGGCTGTATATAGTCCGGTGGACCTCGGCGGCCTCGGGGCTGTATATAGTCCGGTGAAAGTGACCCTTACCTCGGCGGCCTGAGGGCTGTATATAGTCCGGTGGACCTCGGCGGCCTCGGGGCTGTATATAGTCCGGTGAAAGTGACCCTTACCTCGGCGGCCTGAGGGCTGTATATAGTCCGGTGAAAGTGACCCTTACCTCGGCGGCCTGAGGGCTGTATATAGTCCGGTGGAAGCCACCCTCACCTCGGCGGCCTGAGGGCTGTATATAGTCCGGTGGACCTCACCCTCACCTCGGCGGCCTGAGGGCTGTATACTGTATACCTATAGCCCACGCCGAATTGGAGATAGAAGCTACCCTCACCTCGGCGGCCTCGGGACTGTTGATGACCACGTAGTCCACACCGAGCTGCAGGTGGAAAAAGCCGCGGTACTGACGCACGTAGTGCATCAGCATGTCCAGCAGGTCTGAGAACACGGAAAAAACAGGAGGTCTGAGAACACGGAAAAACAGGGGTGAGAAGACGGAAAAACAGGTTTGAAAACAAGGAAAAAGTGGGCCTGCCAAAACAGAGAAACAGGGGGTAGGGAAATACGGAAAACAGGAATTCTGCAAAAACGGAAAAAACGGATCAAAGAACACGAGAATACAGGTGTGTGAGCACGGGAAAACAGGTCTGAGAACACGGGAAAACAGGTCTGAGAATACGGGAAAACAGGTGTGTGAGCACGGGAAAACAGGTCTGAGAACAAGGGAAACAGGGATGAGAAAACGGGAAAACAGGTCTGAGAACACGGAAAAAACAGGGGTGAGAACACAGGAAAATAGGTCTGAAAACACGGAAAAACAGGAAGACTGCCAAAACAGAGAAACAGGAGGGAGGGAAACATGAAAAAACAGGAATTCTGCCAAAAGGAAAAAACGGGTCTGAGAACATGAGAAAACAGGTGTGTGAGCACGGGAAAACAGGTCTGAGAACACGCGAAAACAGGTCTGAAAACACGGAAAAACAGGAGGAAGGCAAGCACGGAAATACAGAAGGTCTGCTAATTCGGAACTACAGGAGGTCTGAGAATATGGAAATACAGTATGTCTGCGAACAGAGGAACGGGTCTTCGAACACGGAACACGGCAGGTCTAAGAAAACGAGAAAACAGGAGGTCTGCAAACACGGAAATACAGGTCTGAGAGCACGGAAATGCCTACAGGTGTGAGAACACGGAAAAGCAAGAAGTCTTCAAACACCGGAAAACACGAGGTTGGCAAACACGGAAAACAGGAGGGCTGCCGACACGGGAAACATAATGTCTGCTAGGCACGTAGCCAGGATTTGCTCAGGGAGGGACCACAAGTCGCGGCCTAGTGTAGTCTCGCGGCCTCCCTCCAAAAACGGAAAACTCCTCGGATTGGCCACTATTTTTGGAGCTGTGGTGCAGCCGTTTTTATATTTTCTATCAAAATTTGTTTTATTTTTCGCCTTCTGGGGGGGGCTGCCCCCTGCCCTTCTTGACTACGTCCCTGAGGTTGGCAGACACGGAAAGACAACATCGATGGGAAATATCTGCTCTATGTTACTCGATGCTACCGTATATCAAATTGGAGCATGTCACAACAAAGTATTCATCTCATATGTATGTGTCTGCCAACAGCCGTGGAGAATTACGTTTATGTTGTTGTAAATATTTACGCTTTGTCACGACCTGAATTGTCGTACGTCTGTCTGTTTTCGTGTCATCATAGAATATCTAACCTTAAGTTTCGTCATGTAGGTATTGCATTTTCGTATTAATCAGAACGAAAACAAGTTACGCTAATTGCTGTCTATGATTGCAAAAAAAAAACGTAAGTCAAACTACCTACAGAAACTTTCAAAACCAATGCGTGCACATTATAAAACATTCATTAGCAAAGTAATTTACACTTCATAGCACCTAATAACACATAGTGTTTTGTGTTCGCCTTTCCAGCCAGTCACGACCTTTGACCTTGGCCGTGACCTTTAGCGACGCTCGTATTGACCGTCTGCAGTCTGGCCGGCCGGTCGACAGTGTAGACCCATCGCGCGGACCGATAGACCCGCCGGCGTGGTCCAGCCCCATGGCACTCCTATCGTCGGCACGGGGGCACGGTAACAAACCCATCGCGTGGACCTGTCCCTATAATACACCGCACCGTCGGCCTCCGGGGGGTGGGGTGGAGGGGGGGGGGGCAGAGAGCGACAGAGGAAATCGATGAGAGCGAAACCCAAGGCCGGCACGGCGTCATGACGTGGGATCTGACCACATGGTGAACACTGGTGAGAAGTAAACCAGTTCAGGAAGACTAGTAATCCCGGATGGCTAAATGAACTGTGACTTGATGAGATGAAGAGACTGAAACACTAATGCACAGTAGATATGCAAACGCACCGACAAATGAACCATTATGCAGGAGAATGGCGATTTTAGCACGGGTGGGGAGGGCCGTGGTCACTAAAAGACGATACCCTGACCGCTGACAGATTGACCGGTGACCTGCTGGAACTTCAATAAAACCGACACATGACCAGTCGACCTCTGGCCTGTGACTGACATGACCAGTCGACCTCTGAACTGTGACCTGACAGACCCGACTGTGCCATCACCTGAGCGCCACTGACATTCGATACTTTCTGACCTGCGTTTCCTGACTCTTACCTTTTCAACCCTCATTGACTTGTGACATCCCGACTTTTCATTGACCTTTGACCTTATACGAGCATGTCTCATTCATTGGCCGGCAGCCTTATTTGACCTTTCACTGACCTGTGACCTGCCAGGGGACCAGCAGCGTGTGTCCCAGCACCGGGTACACGGGTTTGGGTCCGGGCAGGTGTCACTGACCTGTGACCTGCCAGGGGACCAGCAGCGTGTGTCCCAGCACGGGTAGACGGGTTTGGGTCCGGGCAGGTTTTTGATCTGCTGTGGTGGACGGAGAGCCCGCGTGACCAGCAGCGCCACGGGCAGCAGCAGCGCCAGCAGCAGCAGCACGGGCGGCGTCAGCAGCGACCAGCAGCGGCCAGCAGCCGGCCCAGCAGGCCAGCAGACACCTCCAGCATGGCGGCCGCCGCCGCTGCTCCTCACTAACGCTGAAATGGAGGAACACGATTAGACGAAATTGGTAGAAGATAGGGAGACAGGAGAGCAGCTGAGGAGGTGCTGGAAAGCTAACTGCTGATGAGGTGATCCTACACTCATTTGGCTGTGCGAGATGCGGTGTTTGTCTGTTTTTTGTTTGTTTTTATGATGATCAGTATCTGGGAGTTTTAGTACTCGAAATTTTCGGCATCAACTTACGCATCTGCTACACAGAACAAATCATTGCGCTGGGTACTTCAACATTTTATTTGGCTTTGGAGTGATCAACGAGGTGAAAATGAGGGTAATACCGTCTCTGCATACTATTCACTGCAAGGGTAATTCATTCGCCTTTACACGCTTGTCACTATGTCGATGTAAGCGTGTAAGAGGATAGCGTCTTCTTATCGAGCGGGAATAAAATGCGGTCGTCGTAAAGGCGGTATCGCCATATTAGCCAAGGCCGTGCAGACACGGATAATATGCCTACAGTGCGGCATCTTCGTGGCGGTCGGTAATTAACCAAGGCCGGCAGGACACGGATAATATGTACAGTGCGGCAATGTTCGTGGTCAGATCGGCAATGATTAACCAAGACCGTATAAGAGTGATTCCTCCCACAGTCCTGTAAACAAGGCCATGTAAAAAGGTGAGCAGCCTCGGTGACACGCCTCTGGAAATGAGCCGCGGTATTGAGCGCCAGCTCGATGGGGATCAAGTCCTTACGCTGTAACCTGTCAGCTATAGATGTACCGCCAAGAGGATGAACGGTCTGTGGCGGCCGAATCTCACACTCTCCCTCTGTCCTTTCCCTCTCTCTCTCTCTCTCTCTCTCTCGCTACTCTCTCTCTCTCTCTCTCTCTCTCTCTCTCTTCCGTCAACCCCTAAAACCTTTCTCCATCCTTCTGAGCACACCACATACACCACGCATCTTCAGACAGGCAAAGCTGCCCAGTCCCCCCACCCCCACCCCGAGTACGCCCGCAGACTCTCTAAAGACGTCTCCCCCTCCCCCTCCCCTCTAACACACCCCTCGTGTCGGTTGGTGTGTCCTTGGCTGTAGTACACACACAGGCGTCGGTCTGCGCAAAACCAATGATAGTTCGCAGGGACAGGGGCGCGCCTTGCTGCTGAGGTTAACACTTGACACACCCGTATACTGAACGCAGCTATTCGTTGTTTCTCATTTCTATCATAGGTTTTCAATGCAGCAGTTAGTTAAACCACGAGAACACCATGCTGGGTCTGAGTAGCGGCATAGTCAGTAGGCCCGGGAAAATGTAGATTTAACGCCCAATAGGTGTCGTAAAACACATAGTTCCATACCAGAGTACACGTGAGCCCTGTGTGCGCTCGCTTCATGTCATGGCGTATTGGCTTAACAGGTTAACGATGGTAACAACAAACCACGCCAATGAATCACACTTCACTCTCACTCGCACTTACTCATTCTTTCACTCTCACTCTCATCTCTCACTCTTACTCCTTCCTCTCTCACACCCTCCCTCTCTCTCTCTCTCTCTGTCTCTGTCTCTCTCTCTCTCTCTCTCTCTCTCTCTCTCTTCTCTCTGTTTCTCTCTCTCTCACTCTCTCTCTCTCTCCCCTTTCGTTCCTCTCCTCTTAGGAAACACGTCAATACACGTTCTTCTGGTTATCCCGCATACAGATAATATGACCGTGAAAATACGGGGTTTCGGGCCCTGAATTTGCATCACGGGATCCTGACTGACTGCTGCATAATTACTATTCACTATTCAGCATTCTGCACTGCGAATGCTGTGGAAGTGCGTAAGTAGACAGCATTCTGTCTACTTACGTGTAGCGTATGTAGACTTGAATGGCGAGAGTGCGCCGCAGTCGCCAATGTACAGCCCACCGCTAAAGTAATGTAGGGTTTTACCAATCTCAACGGTTGGCTTTGACTGGCGGTGTTTAATGCGGAGTGATCGAAAAGAAGATGTCAATAGCTAAAGTTGCAGCTGCAAGGGTGACGATACATATAAGCTACATTCAAAGTTTCATTGTAGTCTGGCTAATCGTTCCTAAGCTTCAGAAGCAGAACATACCCATGACTGAAACCCCACATTACTTTTGCTGTGGACTGTAGTACGTACAATGTCTCATCTCAGCCGATGTGCCAGGATAAACGAGAGAGTTAAGTAGGACTTCTATTGATAGAGTAGGTACTGTGGACAGCGTATAAATATAACCGTGCGGTAACACTGCATGTAATCATAGACTCGAAGTACTTGCAAACAATAAAACATAGTACACCTGAAGTATATGTACATATCGACACCTTTTTTTAAACCCCACATCTGCTCTCCCGTGAATTTCCGGGAGACACGAAAGATCTCCTTTTAAAAGTGTCCAATCGTCCGATCCTGATCATATATGTGTGTTCGTAGGCCTGTTCTGGTATTGCTTTATCTGCCAAGACAGACAAACTTGAGAAAAATCGAGTGATTGTACCTTTTTTGAAGGTCTCTAACCAACTTGTCTGAAATTCACCGGAGAACAAATGTGGGGTTTAAAAAAAAGGTGTCGATATGTGTTACGACCGACAGAGTAGTTGACTACCTCCATCGCCCATCAGTATCTAGGTACAGGTATCGGTCTGGATAAATATTTTCTTGGCTGAAAAAGCAGATGCTGAAGAATAAAGTCGCAATGCGTCACTTGCTTTTCTAATTTAGTCTATGCCTATTTAACATAAGCAAATGATTGTAGGTATTACCAATTGAATCTTATTAACGTTCATGATCAGTGTTTAAAAAGTCTCCTATCTCAATAAACATGCATACCTAACCGCTACTTCGACTGTCGAATTGCCACTTCCTACATCCAAACGACGGGGATAAGTCAAGGTGTGGAACTGAGGCCAAATGGAAAGCTGTATTTATGCGATTCCAGCAGTACATCTTTTGCTACTCATTTTATTATGCGTTGATTGCTCAACTTCCCATTAACCCAGCGGCCGCTGGGCCTCCGCGCCACCCGCCGGCCGCTGGGGGGGGGGCATATAGTTGCCCCCCCCCTTTACTTCTGCGACGATATCGTCGCAACGCGAAGAGATAGAGAAGCGAAACTTTGCACACATCTTTCTGAATACCTAGCCGAGGTTGTGTCCAACTTTGGTGTCGATCCCATTTGAAATGACGTCACAGTGACGTCATAAGTGAAATTATAGATTTGCGACTCTCATATTCCTCACGATGCATCAGACATATGGGACCGAATATAAAGGGTCGATAATTGGTCAGAAACTAGATGGAAGTGTAGTTAGATGTTTTAGGATGACAGCAGGTGCTGTCTAGTTCATTTACAGTTGAGTTTCATGCTCAGCGTCATCAGAAACGGTCCATATCGGAAAACGACAAAACTTATGACGTCACTGTGACGTCATCTTAGGTGCTACAACCACCAAACTTTCCTCAAACATTGCCTAGGTATTCATTTGAAGCTATGCCAAGTTTCACGTTCGTAGCTCATCAGGTTTCGGAGATATTTCACAAAACGTAGAGGGGGGGCAACTTTATGCCCCCCCCCCAGCGGCTCGTGGGTTAACCCTAGAACGCCTAGGGGGGGGGGGGGGTTGTATCAACCCCCCCCCCTGAGGTTTTTTCGAAGTGCACGCTAAACGGCTTGTCGTAGCGGGCTGAAATTTTCAATACCCTCTGGGGCAACCTTTGCGCATCTTTTGCCGAAAAAAAATTGATCGGGTCATGTCAGGTCACGGAGTTATGACGTCATAAGAGGTACAGCCTCCGGCCGACAGTTACCAAACGTGTGCGCCGAATCCCTAGGTTTTCTGCCGGTGATACCCACATTGTTTGATGGATCATGATGAAACTTCCCATGCATGTTGGGGCAAGCATTGGCTATCAGTATGGTGCAAGAAAATTTGACCGGGTCAGGTCAGGTCACGGAGCTATGACGTCACAAGAGGAACAGCGTCCGGTACTATTTTTGAAAAGCGCCCGAACCACTATTTTGCTAATTCTTGTCACCTCAATGGGAATATGCAGCAATATTAGCTTCTATAGGGAGCAAATGGACCTCCCAAATCCAAAAATACAATCAGATTTCAAAAATTTAAATTTTGATTTTTCGAATTTCTGCCGCCGACTGTGACCTTGCCGACTTCCGGCGCTCCCAACGCGCCATTTTTAGAGCTAGGGAAACGAAATACATACCAAACGATAGAGAATTGATCAAGGAACACGATAGTGAAGGTTTCAAGTCGATATCTCCCACCGTTTTGCCGCAATCGCCGCGGAAAGTTGAAAAAGTTTGATTTTTTCGGAAAATTTGACCTTTGACCGGTCATAAGTAGGTCAAATGTTGACCTAGGACCAAAAAATATACCACCAATCGCGAGATCTCGTTGAGAGCAATCCGTTGGTTTTTTCCGCTAAGCTCTACGACCTTCCGTTTCGAAACGTCAGAGGGGGGGTCGTAACAACCCCTCCCCCCTGGTCGTTCGTGTTATGAGAAATGGCCTGGTCGTGCGAGGGTTAATCGTGGGTTAATAATGCGTGCAGTGGAAGGGGGGGGCGGATTTCGCCCACCCCTCCTGTTTTTCGCCAGTAACTCGCGCCGCAAACATGATATTAATGTGAAATTTTGGCTACCTGTCCAGAATTGAACTGCGGATCTTCTCGTGCAAGAAATAAAAAAAATCGGATCACAACTTTTCTAGTAATAGCGGTGTAAAGTCAAACATCCTGCCGCCGCGGCGGCGCGGCGGCGCGGCGGCCGGCGCTAGCCGTTACGCGCCGCCTGAATTGTAGACTGTGCCGGGGCGGGACGGTTCCGTCTTTACATCGCGCTCCTTACCGCTGATTATATTCGATTCGCGTCAAATTTTGTGAGAAGACTAAGAAATGTACAGGCAATCTTATGGTTAAAGAATTTTGAAAATCGGCCGGTAACAACTTGAGTTATGAGTGTGTAAACACAAAATTGTGATTGCCGCGTTTCCCGCGTCCGCCGATCCCGCTTCAGCCGG